GAGAGCGCGCAAGGCAGCGGCAGCGTTTCAGCCAGCAGCTGGATCTCTCGCACAGTCTGGAAGGGACTGCGAGCAGAGCCACCCTGCCACAGCTGGGCCGGCGCCTCCGTCCCCTTCCGTCTCTTTACCTCTGCTCGCTGAAGCGATTCAAATCCACCTGGGAAACAGGAGCGGTGATGAGGTCCAGCATCTGCCCGAGCTCGGTCTGGTAGGCAGTCTGCGGAGGAAAGAAAGGATTTATTCATAGAATCACAGAAGGCTTTGGGATGGAAGGGACCTTTAAAGGTCATCCAGCCCATCCCCCCTGCAACTGGCAGGGCCATCTTCACCCAGATCAGGTTGCTCAGAGCCCCGTCCAGCCCGGCCTTGAGTGTTTCCAGGGACGGGGCATCTCCCACCTCTCTGGGCAACCTGGGCCGGTGTCTCACCAGCCTCATTCACGCAGCGCCCCAGGGACGTCCCCGCAGCACAGTGCAAACCCCAAACCCAAGCTCCCTTTCGGCTCCTCTCCAAGCCAGGAGGGCGGGCGCGCATCTGGCGGGATGCCCGGGAGCCGAAGGGACAGGCCGAGACCTCCAACGCCCCGGCACGGCCCAGGCCCGCGGCGAATCCGTGGGAGGGGGGTGCCGGGGCCAGGCTCACCTGCAGGAAAAGCTCCAGCAGGTGCAGGTAGTAGGGACGCTCCCCGCAGTATTTCTTCAGCAGCCGGTAGACGGAGGACTCGAGGAGGAAGGCGTCGTTGATGGCGTCCAGACCGACCCCCTCCTGCAGCAGGAGGGCAGGGAGGGGTCAGCAAAGCCCTTGGCCCCGCAGGCCCCCCCGCGGCCGGGGTCCCCCCGACCCTTCTCACCTTCTTGTACCAGCAGAGCTGCCCCCGGCGGGTGAGGGAGGCGTCCATGATATCGTCCGCCACCAGGAAAAAGGCTTGGAACTGCGAGAGGCTGCGTTAGGGGGGCGGGGGGTCCCCGCGGGGCCCCGGCCGCCCCCCGCCCCCGCCCTCACCAGCTCGACGCACCAGCCCACCGCCAGCGGG